TTAGGAGGGTGACGGTGAAGAAGTACCATCACAGGTCGAAGTGGGGACTAATTCCTAGGAACCCCTCACACAGGGCGACGAACGGCGCAATGTGCTGGATTCCGTTGGGATTAAGATGATGCAGCTATACCTTGTAGTAGTGCAGCAATCCCCGAAGAAACTTGTGGGCAGGGGTGGTGAATCCCTGCTCATGGAAGTGAGCGAAGGACACGACGTAGCCATCGGGCGACGACATCGCGTCCTCATCGCTGGGTAGCCGCCACTCCTCAGTGGTGGTTCGCGCGCAAAGGAGACCATGGCGAATGAGGCTCTCTAGGCGTTGGAGGGTGATATCGGAGCGGCACCATGGCTCCACTGGAGGATTGGAGTGGTGGATGCAAATTTGACAACGGCTAAAATGCGGATGCGGGAGGCTTAGGTGATTGGCGGTGGAGGTTGTAGATGCAAAGGTAAAGAAGCAAAGTATGAAACCCTGGGGGCGAACCCTTTGGTTTTATAGGGGCGACGGATATGAGGAAGGCAATCGTCCGCCTGGATCTCCGCTCCTGCCACGATCCGCCACCACGTCACGTCGTGGGATATGCTTCTGCAATCTCTATCCTTTCCCTCCGAAGGCGCGCCGGACGTTTTGCCTCCCCGGACAGACCAGGACTCTTTTCTAGCAAAAGGGATATAGGTCAAAAAACGTTCCTTCGGCCTGCCTGGGCCTAGGAGTTCGAGGGCTGGCCCATCAACATTTTCGACGACCACCCCAAGGCACCCTTACGACAAAGGATGGGCCCGCGAGCAGCCAAAACTCAGGCGCATGAGCTTCACGGGAGTCTTGGCCCACGATCGAGTCTTAGTGGGGCTGACCCTAGGCCGATCCGCATGAATGGGATACTAGGATCCCAATTGAGCTATCCGGCTAACAATCATCAAATCTCACGACCATACCCGCGAAGGGTCCAGCCTTGGCGAAGAAGAAATGGCCATCTTAGGGGCACGCCGGAGACAACAATAGAGGGCCAGGGCTCTCAGAACCCTCTCATTCGGAAAACCCTCCAAAGGAGTATCCTACTCCTCCACAGGCTCAGGGGCTACACCCACCGAGGGCACTCGCGCGCACCCGCTGGCAACTCACAAAATCCCCCGGGCAATTCTACTCGAATCGCCCAGGGGCTCGGGGCTACTATCGGGGACCAATATTAGGGTACCCAAAGAGGAGGAGCTAATGACCGTCGAACATTGATTCATCCGCGCGATCAAGAACATGACTACACCGCTTGCCGGGACACTCCTCATCCATCCACCGAGACCATGGGCCCCGCCTTGCCCAACCCTCAGGGGCTGACTCTGCCTCGCCCGACATCTAAGGACAGACTACGCCTCGCCTAACCCTTGGGGGCTGGCTCCACCTCGCCCGACGTCTGGGGGCAGACTCCGCCTCGCCCGACGTCTGGGGGATGGCTCCGCGTCGCCCGACGTCTGAGGGCAGACTCCGCCTCGCCCGACATCCGGGGGCTAGCTCCGCCTCACCCGACGTCTGGGAGCAGACTCTGCCTCGCCCGACGTCCGAGGGTAGACTCCGCCTCGCCCGACGTCTAGGAGCAGACTCAGCCTCGCCCGACGTCCGGGGGCTGGCTCTGCCTCACCCGACGTCTGGGAGCAGACTCAGCCTCGCCTGACCTCTGGGGGCTGGCCCTGCCTCGTCCGACGTTTGGAGGCTAGCTCCACCTCGCCTGATGTCTGGGAGCAGACTCCGCCTCGCCCGATGCCCCGAGGCTGGTTCCGCCTCGCCCGACGTATGCGCGCTGCTCCTTCATAACTACACGCACAGATAAGGCTGGATACTCAAGTCAACCGTAAAACCAAGGACCATACCCTGCACGTCTATAGGAAAGTATCGTCAGGATATGACAAGACGGACGCTTTAAGGGCCTTTCGGGCATGTCAGAGCCCTAACAGTGTTGTGGGCGCCGACATTTTATTTTACAGTGTTGTGGGCGCCGCCATTGGCCCTCGGGCGTGGATCCTGACGGGACCATACGACAACCACTAGGCTCTAGGAGGAGACTCGCGTCCTCTACAGTGACGAATGTGCAGTCACTGCGACGTCCGCTCCCCGTAGGGTTGCGGATCAACACCCCGGTCTGTCGCACCGCCCACCAGAGCGGGATGAGACGTGACCACTTGCTGATCAAGCCAGAGCGTGGCATCATCAACGGACAAACGCCCAGCATGGAGCTATCTCTGGCACCGTCTGCCGTATCAGCAGGGCTGGCTCGAGAGGAAAAGGAAGATCCGGCACCTTCGAATGACTTTCTTTGTCTCTAGTTTTTCTTCTTTCTCCCATCTGTAATCCTTGTTTCCCTTGGTCTATAAAAGGGAAGGCAGGACACCCCACTAAGAGGACCGATCAATAGAACACACCACGCATCACATAACACACAGCAGAGCAGCAACAAAGCTCTTAGCGTCCTTTCAACCTTTCCATCAGAGACTTAAGACATGTCCCTCTCTCGTCCATTTGTAACCCCTACTACGAACCTTTCTTAGCTAATAACACGAGCAGCAGCCGCAAACTGGACGTAGAGACATTCTACCCGAACCAGTATAAACCTTGTATCTTTTAGCACACCATCCGGGTCCAACGCGCAATAATACAAATTTACTCGTTGGTGTTTACTCAAAACATCGACACTAAGGTTATGTTTGGATGCACTTTTTTATTTAAAAAAAATCTGTGGTTGTGTGAAACATCTGGGTTTTGAAGACCATAAAAACCATGGTATTACTAAAACTCATTTTTTAAATTTTAGAAACTCTTCTCTGACCACTTTTTTTAAAAAAAACATAACTTTACTCATATCTTGTTCTAAAACTAATGTTTCTTAATTCCTAAAACACACAACATACAAACAAGGCATAAACAGTTCATGGCACCATAATAAAACCAAAATATTTCAAAAAGTATTGCATTTTTCTAAAACCAAAAGAAACTTTATTCGCATCCAAACGTGTCTATATTCCTATGGCTCGGCTCGGCTTGTTAATATTACGAGCTAAAGGGGCAGCTCGGCTCAGTTCGTTATCGAGCTCGAGCTAACTCATTTAGCTCGCGAGCTATAAAAAAATAGGATACACATGTTTATAATGTTTATGCTACATTAATTGCAGAAGGTAACGTCCACCATTATACAACCATACATGATTAATTCATATCAGGTTCATCAAAAGTATCAACCATGCAACATAGGTCTATCTATGATCATGCAGTTCCAGTATATTAACTAGTTGTTTGCTACCACAAACTTAGAAAAAATTCACAAATTCAATGTCAGCATCATCATCTTCTCTCCGAAAACAATCCATAAAACCAACATTTAAGTACCACAACAATTATAAAATTAAAATTCATATGAAACAGTTGAAAATAAGGATTGCATACCAATAGAATAGATATACACTTCTAGGTCAGCATCATCATCTTCTGGATTCATGATCGTAGGCTGATAGGTCTCAGCTCGTGAACAGCTCGCGAGCTAGCTCGAGCTGGCTCGTTAAAATAGCGAGCTAGACTTCCAGCTCAACTCATGAAAAGGTTAAAACGAGCCGAGTTGATCCGAGTTGAGCCAGCCACGAATCGAACGAGTTGATGAACCATGAGTATTTTGTCCAGCCCTATATATTCCCTATACATGCACGAGGGGACGGACGACGGAGATCCATGCTGCACTTGCTCGCTTGTTCGTTCCTTCTTCCAGTGCCGCCGTGTCTGTCATTAAATTCTAGCTTCGCGGCAACGCAAGCTTAATTGGCTTCTCTTTCTGGGGCGATTGTAAGTTTTTTCACTCTTTTTTCATCACATCAAATCTTTGACATATACATGAAGTATTAAATGTAGATAAAAAAATAACTAATTATACAGTTTGATTGTAAATTACGAGACGAATCTTTTGAGCATAGTTAGACCATGATTGGACTATAATTGTTAAATGTAAATGAAAGTGCTACAATGTCAAATACCGATTTCTAACCCGAATCTAAACCGGCCCTTGGCATGGAGCTATGGCAGCAGGAGGAAGCGAACGACGGAGCCCGGCCCGGAGCACATTGCACGATGCGCCAGCCAGTCAGATGGGTCTAGGCGTCCAGCGAAGCGAGGTCCACGCAAAAACTATTTCGCTTTGCTCCGTCTCTAAGCTTCAACGATGTTTGAGGTCGACTCCAATGGCACGCCGCTGCTGCCCTGCGCTGCGCCTTCGCCTTCGCCTTATTATTATAAATGGCAAGCCACCTGCTGGCTCACTGCAGCCTAGGGTCCCCACTCCCCAGCCAGCTAGGCAGGCTTCCTCTACTCTACATTCTCTTGGAATTGAGTTGCAGTTCAGTATCGCGCGGCATTCGGCTTCTGAAAACACCTGTTCTTTGCATATAGCAGATTACCCTCCTTCTGAACGCGAAATCGAAAGAACCAAAATCTTTCTTGCTGGCTTTTCGTTTCTACCAAGGTACTGTGACAATTTAGTTACGATTTCATTTATTTGGATCTTTTGACTTCCGTATGTATGTAATTGCTTTAGGATGTGTTTACCTTCAAGTACAATGCAGCAGCCTGCGACTGAACAAAGCCATATATGCATGCGCTCATGTGTATGTTGCTTGTTCTTGGCTGCTCACTTTGCTGAATCTTTACTGCATGCATCACATGAAGTCATATATTCACAAGTTGTTGCTTGTTCGTGGCTGCTCGCTTTACTGAATCCTACTGCATCACTTGGACGCTCGCTAATTAAGAAAATCCGTTCATCATTCAAAGCCTGTAGTGTTACCTTCTTTTAGTACACTGATGAAGAAACGTGTATTCATCATTGCCTTCAGGCTTCAGTTCACTCTGCAAGTCTGCACTCTCTGCAGTGCAGACAAAAGCTAGCTGGAAATAGACTGAACTGAGGGAAAAGGCGCACTGCACTGAAGCTTCTCCTGCTCTGTTTTCAAAATACCAGGGCGTTCCCGCCATGGGCGTCACCCGTACGCACATCGTCAGGGGTGACTCCCTGGAGGGCATGCTCGGCGAGTACGGCGGTGGCAAGGGCCGCGGCGGCAAGCCCACGCGCGGCGGCAACGGCGGCGGGGCCAGGAACACGTCCCGCCTCGTGGCGTCGCTGACGTGCCTCCAGTTCGCCTTCGCCATCTACGCCACCTTCCTGCTCTACTACATGAGCCCCGCTGTGGACCTCCGCGTGAACGTGAAGCCGGACCTGGCGTGGGCCACCCGCATCGCGCAGCACTGGAAGCAGATCATCACCACGCAGCCCGGCGGCGGCGCGCTGTCCCCGGAGGAGGTGTGCGAGCACGAGAGCATCGACTTCGAGCAGAAGAAGTCGACGGACGAGGTCATGATCCGCCTCAAACGCGAGCTCTACGACGAGGTGCTGGCGTTCCAGCGGCGGAGCTTCGGCGCCGAGACGCTGCCGGAGCTGCTCCGGATGAGGTCCCGGTGGAGCGCGTCGGGCCCCAACGTGCCGCGCGTCACCGTCATCCTCAACCACTTCAAGCGCCGCACGCTGTGCGCACAGCTGGAGCAGCTGCGGCGTCAGACGCTGCCGTTCCACCGCACCTGGGTGCTGTCCTTCGGCAGCCCCAACGAGGCATCTCTCCGCCGCATCGTCGAGAGCTACAACGACTCGCGCGTCAGCTTCGTCGCCTCCGGCTACGACTTCAAGTACTACGGCCGCTTCCAGATGGCGCTGCAGTCCGAGTCCGACTTCGTCTACGTCCTCGACGACGACATGATCCCGGGCGCGCGGATGCTGGAGATCCTCTGCCACGTCGCCGGCACCGACAAGTACGGCAGCGCCGTGCTCGGGAGCATCGGCCGGATCCTGCCGTTCCGGCAGAAGGACTTCACCTTCCCGAGCTACCGCAAGTTCCGGTCCAAGGAGGCCGGGCTGTACCTGCCGGACCCGGCCTACGACATCACCGCCGACCGCATCGTGCAGGTGGATTTTCTGTCCAGCTCCTGGTTCCTGCCCGCTGACCTCGTCAAGACGCTCTTCATCGAGACGCCCTTCACCTTCATGACCGGCGAGGACCTCCACCTGAGCTACCAGCTGCAGAAGTACATGGGCGCGGGGTCCTTCGTGCTCCCCGTCGACCCCAACGACAAGGAGACGTGGGGCGACAGCGAGCACCGCCTCGCCTACGTCTCCGAGACGACCGTCATCTTCAAGGACATCGTGCAGGTGCGGGACGAGCAGTGGTGGCGCGCGCTCACCTCCGGCTACGTCACGCAGTGGGCGGCCATGCACCCGCAGAAGGTGGACGCGCTCTTCTACGCGCACTCCCTCGGCGAGGTCCGGGCGCTGGCGCCGCTGCTGGAGCGGTTCCGCACCACGCCCGGACGCAAGGCGTACCTCGTCGTGTCCGGCGGCGGCCACTGCCCCTGCGAGGAGGCCGCCACCATGCTCAAGTGGCCCAAGGTGGTGTGCAAGGACCGCCGATTCAAGATCTTCGACCTCGGGATCGGCGCGCTGTCCGGCCCGTCGCGCTCCGAGGTGCTCGTGCTCCAGGCCGTCTATGCCAGCATGCGGGGCATCGTCCGGATGCACAACCCCAGCGTGGTCGTCGCCCTCGCCGACATCGACGCCAAGGTCAAGGAGGCGCTCCGCATGGCTGCCGACACCGCCGCCGTCAACCGCACCGCGCTCGTTCTCCTTCCCAGGACCTCCGTCTCCAAAGTGCTCTGGATGGCCACCCTCAAGCCCGCCTCACTGCCAAGTAAGCACCTGCACCTCTGCATCGTTTCACGCCGCCACACGCCATCGCCATGAATGCATCGCAACAAGCTAACTTCGATCGATCGATCTTCTCAATGCAGACTGGAACCGGATGCGCATCTCGGTGAACATCATCACGCAGAACCGCGCCAAGTCGCTGCTGCGTCTGCTGACGTCGCTGCGGAGCGCCTACTACCTGGGCGACGAGGTGCCCATCAGCTTCAACATGGACAGCCGCGTGGACGCGGCGACGCTCAAGGTGGTCAACTCCTTCGACTGGCCGCACGGGCCCAAGACGCTCCGGCGGCGGATCATCCAGGGCGGGCTGATCCGGGCGGTGAGCGAGAGCTGGTACCCGTCCTCCGACGACGACTACGGCCTCCTGCTCGAGGACGACATCGAGGTGTCCCCCTACTACTACCTCTGGGTCAAGTACGCGCTGCTGGCCTACCACTACGACCCCGGCGTATCGCTGTCGGAGCTGTCGTCCATCTCGCTCTACACGCCGCGGCTGGTGGAGGTGGTGAAGGAGCGGCCCAAGTGGAACGCCAACGAGTTCTTCAAGAAAGTGCACCCCAACACCCCCTACCTGCACCAGCTCCCCTGCAGCTGGGGCGCCGTCTTCTTCCCCAAGCACTGGCGCGAGTTCTACGCCTACATGGCGGCGCGCTTCACGGAGGACGCCAAGCAGAACCCCGTGCAGATCCCGAAGTCGCGCACCAACGGCTGGCAGGCGTCGTGGAAGAAGTTCCTCATCGACATGATGTACCTGCGCGGCTACGTCAGCCTCTACCCGAACTTCCCCAACCAGACGAGCTTCTCGACCAACCACATGGAGCCCGGTGCGCACATCAGCGCCAAGGGCAACGTGCTCAAGCACAACAAGACGGACTTCGAGGTGCCGCTCGTCGCCGACGACTTCTCCACGCTGCTGCCGGCGGGCAAGATGCCGCCGGCGTCCAAGCTGCCCGTCGTCAACCTCTTCAACCAGGCCGTGTCCCTCAAGGGGCTCAAGGCCGCCGGCGCCAAGCTCGGCCAGGACGTGCTTGAATGCGCTGCCAAGGAGCTCGTCGCCGTCGATCACATCACCGGCCTGCCCACAAACTGCACCGCCTTTTGAGTTCTGACCGATGGATGGAATTCTTTGTTTCATGATGAGCTTGCCCACAACCACAATGTACCTAGTGTAATTTTGTAATTCCCATTTAATTTGTACTACCTACAATCTAGCACTCTCTGATACCCATCAAAATTAAAGGGGCAGAGAGCGCGTTTTTGCGCCTTTGTCTGGTTAATTAGATGATGATCCGTGATTGAAGATGAGACCAAAAGTGCGGCTTCTCTGTCTTCACTGTCGATCAACTTCCTAGTGTAATTTGGAGAATCAATTCATGAATGAAGAATACAATAAGGTGTGTTCTAGTTGTACAGCCCAGACCCCCTCTCTTATAGTCTTATGCCATCTCCCTGTTTGTTGTATGACTGGCTGAAGAATCCTTCTGTGAAGGATTGATTCATAGTGTCAAGGTAATGTACACCAAATCAGTCATCTTCCATGCCAAGGTGTCATACTGTCTGCCAAACACGGAAACACAACCATCTTGCTGCTCTTCAGTCTTCTATTTTGTATCCAGAGCCGTTTTTTATTTCCAGACAAAATATGAAGAGATTGTTTCTTCTATGGTCATATGCATAGATTGTTTTTGCATTTTCCTATATGTTAGGTGCCTCGTTTTTTTCTATTGTTGTTCAGACAAATACAATTTTTGTCATTGCTTGACTATAGAAAAAAAATAAATTAGCGAGTTATTCTTTAAATTGTACCGATTTGTTATTTAAGATTGTCATCTCAAAATTCAGGCACTGGAAATATAGCAATATGAATAGATTATTCAGTTTTTGTGTTTGATGAACTTCAGGGGGTTGGATGCCATTGTGCTACCGTGCTTTGACTCATCGTCATTTCGTTCACAAATCACAATCACGATTCCTTTGATAGGCTCCTCCATAGCAGGCCGCAGCCCAGCATCAGTTCTGCTTCCAGCATCATTTCAGGAGGGCTTGGATTTGTGGGCCTGAAAGAAGACACATTGCAGCAGCAGGCTAGTTGTTTTTGTCTCTACTAGGTAAATGCCCGTGCGTTCCAACGGAGAAAAATAATGTCACAACAACATGCGTATGAACCGTGTGTTGTACCGTTACCCGTGATGTTCGGAACATCAACATTACAAACTTAAATTTTGTACATGGCTAAAACTAAGAAGAGCAATTCTATCCTAAGTGTATCCTCTCACAACCCTAAATGCCACACCTGGCCTTCTTAACAACATCATAAAGGTATCAACTCGGCAGGCACAAGCAGTCAAGTAATCCTTGCAGTTCTCCTAGCTATGTCACACCATGAGACACGAAGCGGATTCTGGTGCTTTCTTACTTCTTCTGACCTGCTATGTCACGCCATGAAACGAATCCTAAGGCCCATGTACATATACAACAGATGTGTGATAACAGTTATAAGTTTTCAGATCCTATAAAAGTTAATCTTCACCTATCATGATGCAAAGTAAATTCAGATGTGCAAATGGCTCAACCACACTGACTACGTGCTAGGTATCAAGTAGAATGCAAATCTCCAGTGCTCCATGGTCCAAAAATCAAAGGTACAGAGGATGTCCAAAATTCAGATAAACTTATGGAGCAAATGTGCATCAATAGAACTTCACCTAGAAGACTTTGGATGTTCATGGTCTTCTTTCTGCAGGCCCTGCGCCAAAGTGTAACTTTGAGCTGCTATGCTGCTACAGGACCTAATAGAACAAGCATTTGCTGCCTATCTGAAATCGCTGAAATTTCTGCTAATCATGTGTCTTAATACCTTTATTGTTGTTCAGGAGCTTGTTGAAGCCGTTTCTGCAACAAATATTTGGAAGGAACAAACAAAATCAAGTTATGAATAGAGGCAATGGTAGCTGGGAGATGTGTTGTATGCATATGCATCGAAAATCTGATGATTAGGCAATCAACTACCTCATATAAGTATGGACGTGCGTTGCTATCGGCACCTAAATTTAAACGAAATATTGTAACATAGAATACTTTAAAAAATGAATGATGTGAATACAATTCAGTAAAACAAAGGGTAAAAGAACCATAATAAGAGGCATCCAACATGACAAATTAAATGTCTTAACTTAAACGGATGAACAGTTTTATGTTCCTTACCATGAAAGAAACAAAGACTTGTTGTACTGATGAACAGTTTTATGTTCCTTACCCTGAAGGATTAACCAGTTATAGTTTTATCAGCTAGTTGCATCTACTATTAACTTATCATCTCACAATATAATTTGAAGGGAAAATAATTTATCATATACCAATGGTTGACATACCTTGTAAGCAGGGTAGTTGGGTTGCAGCAAAAGCTTAGTTTCCCAGAGATTCACCAGCAAAGCAAAGCCAAACATGCCTTTGGACACAGAGGGGGGCCAAAGCCAAAACATCTGTGAAGAGATATGGGATAAAAAGCTTCCATGCTCCAGGTTACATATGCTTTCCACTAATAACAGAAGATATGTGAGTCACTGTGTTGACACAAAATGTGACGCACTGTGCCCCACACACAGCAAGCCGGAAAGCGTAGCTTCAATTGGGTGCCCGGGTGCTTCGTGATCCGGAAACGTGCCAGTCAGTTTGACCTGAAAAAACTAACAAGGGATAAACAGTTAAATGCCAAACCGGAACATGTCGGGTGAGACCAGACAGTTCCATATATACGGCCCTGAAGCCACTTACAACGACATATAGCTATAGGAAGCTATCTGCCAGCAAGTTTATAAACCATTCGGCTAATCGTAAGATGAGCATACGTAAAGATCCGATTGCCGAATGCATGTGCATGGGAAGACATGTTTGAACAAGTGAAATTAATCATGAGTTAATGCATAACCAAGCTCAGCAATCCAGCCGAGTTGGGGTCCATGAAGAAGGAACGTGCAAATAAACACGATTAAACTAATCTAAAACCTGCATCTGCCGCACGACACCTAGTTTCATCAAAGCTTAAACGTAATTAACATGCATGAACCCGCGACATGTGACAATCTAGATTAAAATAATTCAGCCATTATGAGCATGTTATCTATTTGCAAAGGTAATACGAAAGTAATGATCATTGAAGCACGAATAAAATCATAAGAGAGGGCCGAACAATATCAATCTAGATTGGGCAGAAGTGTGTTACAAATATATAAAATATTTAAAACATGCAACACAGCATAACTTAATGAATCTATTTAGATTTTGCCGTATCTAATAGAGCCGATAACTGTCTTGTCTTCACTAAGCATATTGAGCAAACGCCTGCCGCACGGTATCTACTCATAAACAAAGCATAAGCAAAGACTTCTTGCTTGTCAAACAAAGATCCGCCGCACGATCATTGAAAACAAACAAGACTACTTGCATTACGTCTAAATCCACCGCATGATACTAAACATGATAACAAGGTTGTCGGAACTTACGGAGGTCGACGGATCGATGACTCCTCTCAAGAACTCGGACGACACGACAAAAGGACTCGAAAGTTGGGCGGGGCGGTTGTATTGATTTGGTTGTGAACCCCTATTATAATGGTCGAGGGTCAATATTTATACCCTAGACAAAACACGAGTCCTAAAAGACTACGACTTACAAAGGAACTCTTAAACAAACTTGGAAACTACGATTCCTTGCCCTAAACTCTCGAGTCCTTTATTATTACGACTTTCATCTTTTCGATCGGCTTTTTCGCTTTCCCGAATGGAGTCACCACCTTACCAAGTAACCGACCGCACAAGCATTTAGCCGACCGCTTCGCTTTGTTTGTCGAATGTCCTTCTTCCCGTATATGGGTCCACTGTCATCTTCGAAGTCGACCAAAATCCGGTGTTAACACATGCCCCTCAATTTCGGGATAAAAGTTGTTTTATTCTGAAATTAACCACAAGCTCCTTCTCCTCCTAGGTCAGCACCGTTCAACACCGCAGCCGTTGTCCAAAAATTCAAGCTTTCAGCGCAACCTCGGACCCATTTCGAATCTTCAATGGCGACCCAGGATGAAATTCCAGAGGTAAACTTCACTTATATTCGGCAATTTCCACTTGATCTTCCCGTTCTTCTTTTGGCTTATTCCTCTTTGATTTCAATCACCCTTTACAGGAATACAAGAATCAGATTTTGATCCCTTATGCTGCCAATCCTGATTCCTATTTCCTCGCCCAATGGAAATCCGACCCTTTTGAAATTATCGAGAAGGAAACCCAAAGAATCCCTTTCAAATCTGGGATCACCTTGCCAAACCGATGGCCAAACACGTTTCAAGAATTGGCCATTTCCCCAATCATTGGATGGCGGAATTGGTACAGAGAGAATCTTTGGAGAAAAGAGTAGCCCTTTGGGAAAGTCAAGACATCAGTCATTGTTTGGAATTATCCTTAGCAGAAACACCCAGAAACGATTCCCTTTTGATAACAACTTCCCATTTTTTGTCTGACACCATTAATGCCTTCATCTTCGGCCATGGTATGATGACCATCACTCTAGCCGACGTGTTCATGATGACTGGCTTGAACGTGTCACTACCGAAGATACCCTCATAAGTACAAGAGCAAAAGTAATCAAAGAGTCGACTCTGGATGTGGATGGGTCAAATACATTCAGAACTACATGAATGCATCCGCATCATTTCGACAAAGAGTTGAAAGCCTTCATGAACATGTGGCTATGCAGATTCATCTTCGTGGAAAATCCAATGAACCAACTCGAATCATATGGTGATGGTGAAGATTTAGCTGCAGCACTCGAGATCCCACTAGGCAAATATCTTTTGGGGTCTGCATTTATCATATGATGCATCAGATTACTCTTGAGATGCGCCAAGGTGGAGAAATCTCTTGTGTGAATGGTCCCGGTGGCTAATTCAGATGTGGCTCCACTATACATGCATCGAGATAACCTCTGTGAGCCTCTTCAATCTAAGTTTTCCTTGATTAACTTCAAGCCAAGGCAAAGACAAATAAAGGTTAAGGCTTGTCGGACTTATGGGGAGTAAAATCATCATCTATCGGCATTGACATAGACATT